GGAGGCGGAAGTGGGAGGATTGCTTGAGCTGGGAGTTGAAGACCAGCTTGGGCAACATATTGAGACCCTGTCTTGATCAAAGAAAAATAAAATAAAGGGCTCAATATAGTGTTAGATATACAGTAAGCACTCAGTAACTGCTCATTGTATTTATTTTTTCTTTACTTCTCTAACATTAAAAAAGTCACTTTCAAATATTGCATTTATGAGATTATTATCACAAAATATTTCCTAATAAATGTATGAGATATTTACTTTTTCCTTTTATAGATATTTTAAAGACAGAAAAGAAAAAATGTGTTATGATATTTCACTAGGCATCTCTGTAATTACATTATTCGGTCTATAAAACATTTAAAAAATTATTTTTAAAAATGTGCATAGAGGTCAGCCACAGGGGCTCACGCCTGTAATCCCAGCACTTTGGGAGGCCGAGGCAGGTGGATTACCTGAGGTCAGATGTTCAAGAAGAGCCTAGCCAACATGGTGAAACCCCATCTCTACTAAAAAGATAAAAATTAGCCGGGTGTGGTGGTGAGTGCCTGCAGTCCTGGCTACTCAGGAGGCTGAGGCAGGAGAATTGCTTGAACCCGGGAGGCAGAGGTTGCAGTGAGCCGAGATCACGCCACTGCACTCTAGCCTGGGCGACAGAGCAAGACTTCGTCTCAAAAAGTAAACAAACGAAAATTTACATAGGAAACGTGCTAGAAGGATATACATTAAAAATGTTAACAGTATTTGCAGAATTAGAGGGTTTTAAATTTGTATTTCTTTAGTTTACTATGTTTTAAAATTTTTCTACATGACTTTTTATTTAGAGGAATTAACTGTGAATGTTATACCTCGTTAGGATTCAGTAAAGCACTTATTCTACAACTTGACTAATCTACCACTCTGAATTTACAAAGACAAAATAAATCCAATAACAAATCTTTATTATTCCTTCACTTCCAACCATTATTCAGGCAATATGTAACCTAATATATATTATGCACATAATATATGTATAATATAATCTGAATAATATATTTTTGCCTTATCTGAAATGAATATGTATTGTTCAAATCATGGGGGAAAATTCCACCTATCTATTTGGTTTATAAATTACTCTAGGAAGATAATTTATAAGACTATTAAAAACCTGGTAATATTTTGCAGTCCAATGAAGTTTTTAATGTTCAAACAGAAATGACCTTTAGAAGCATCACATTAAAATGATGATACTAAAAAAGTCTTTGATGCTAAAATAGTGTCTCCAGTGCCTGCCATGTCCTAGATAGAATTTTCTTCAGAGAAAACCACAGTTACTTATTTTCAATGGCATCATTCAAACAAACTTACATTATTCCAAGACAAGAAAAAAGACACACTGGTGCTCAAAGTGTGAAATGACTTTTCTTTCCTAGCATTACATGTTAAGGGCAAATGATTTTTTTTTTTCTTGAGTTGTAAAAATGAGGCCAGTGAAGAGTTTAGACATGTCAAAGGAAAAAAAAATCGTATTTTCTCTATTAGACCAATACAGAGTCTATGTGATTCAATGCCTCTAAAATTATTTCTAAAACTGAAAAATGTCCGAATACTGTCCAAGTTTAAACAATATTATACATTTCTAAAAATGCTTTCTGCTCACCTTTAAGAAAAGAACAACAAAAATAAGAGTGACCTGAAACTACTTCCGTAGTTTTGTATATTTTATTCTCCTGAAATACCTTTTTGACGGTGCAAAGATAAGGTTTTCAAAGGACATCAATTTGTAAAAAGAGTCCTACAATCTCAAAGGCCTTATGTCTCCCATTCTTTAGGGTGACATTTTCCCCTAGTCATTACAGAAATTGTCTCTCTGAAGCACCATTAGGAAAATGTTCCATTATGAGACCTTTAGCTCAATTACTATATCTAATCGGAGCCATACACTGAATTAGGAAATATTTACAAACAATTTTATCTCATTTTATTTTATTTTATTTTATCTTATTTTATTTTTAAGAGACATGGTCTCTGTCGCCCAGGCTAGGGTATAGCAGTGCATTCATAGTTCATTGCAGCCTCAGTCTCCTGGACTCAAGCAATTCCCCTGCCTCAGGCTCCTGAGTAGCTGGGATTACAGGCATGTGTCAGCACAGCCAGCTAATATTTGCAAACAATTTTAGATAAATTTCAGCTCACTCACAAGAACATGTATGTCAGACAACATAAAAAGTAGGCTGAAATATGGTAGTGTTGAAATGTTCTCTTGAAGCAAGTGCTTATTCCTTAGACACAATGGCTAACTAATAGGTTAAAGTTGATAATCTAAAAAGTATTTCCTCTAAATACCGAAAATACATGTAATTTCACTTGAAAATGCTTTCATTTAACCTCTATTTCTTACAGAATAAAATACATCCAGTTGAAAAAAGACATTACTTTTTTTTTTTTTTTAACTTTTATTTTAGGTTCGGGGTACACACGAGGGTTTGTTATATAGGTGTGTCATAAGGGTTTGGTATTCAGATAACTTTGCCACTCAGGTAATATGCATTGTACCTAATAGGTCCTGTTTTCTATTTAGAGAAGAATGCTATTAATGGTGATTTATTTATATCTATGTAAATTATCCTTACCTTTAATTATACTTTATTAAATATGCTATTAAGTAAAGCAGAAAAAGAGAAAAGAATTTGAGAACCTTTGGTGGATTTCCAAAGAGAGAAATTAATTTCATACTGATGTCCATATGAGTAAAATGAGACTCATAGAATAGCCTTAATCTTTTAAAGGTCATGGAAAAGAGAAAAAGCACTATTATCGTTGAAGAAATATCAGAATGAAAGATGTAAGAATTGCCAAGTATTTAAATTCTTAATTAACTAATTAAGAATTAATTCAGAAAGAGAACTCATTCTTGTATTTATTTATAAAACACCAAGCTACTTAGCATTGCTGGTTTCCCTAGAAGCAGAAGTGGACATGAGGATTCTTGAGCACATGAGTTACTGAGAGAATGGTCTCAGGAAAAAACTGCAGGGAGGTGAGGCCAACAGGTTAAGACAGGAAAGAAGGTAAGTCGAAATGTGGCCTCAGGCAAACTCCAGTCTCAGGCTGATACCACAGGGCGCTCAGGAGCATGAACTGCAACACAGAAGTTGCCCACCACAAGCAAGGGGCTGAGCTATTATTCTCCCAAGTGGGATTTATCCCAGAGATGCAAGGATGGTTCAACATACCCAAATCAATCAATGTGATACATCATATCAGCAGAATGAAGGGAAAAAAACCCATATGATCATTTAAAAAAGCATTTGATAAAATTCAACATCCCTTCTGGTAAAAACTCTCAAAAAAACCCTACCTGGGTATAGAAGGAACATATATCAACACAATGAAAGCCATATATAACAGTTCAACAGCTAGTATCAAACTGAAGGAAGAAAAACTGAAAGCCTTTCCTCTGAGATCTGGAATAAGACAAGGATGCTCACTTTCACCACTGTTATTCAGCATAGTACTGGAAATCCAAGCTAGAGCAATTAGACAAGAAAATGAAAAAAGGGCATCCAAATTGGAAAAAGTCAAATTATTCCTGTTTGCAGATGATATGATCTTATATTTGGAAAAACAGAATGACTCCACAAACAAGCTATTAGAACTGATGAACATTCAGTGAAGTTGTAGAATTAACCATCAGTGTACAAAAATCAGTATGCCTGTATCAGAATATCAAATGCATCCCATAACATATATGCCAACTATGTACCCATCAATAAAATAAAATAAAATAAAATAGTGCAGCACTGCAAATATCCAATAATTGGGGGCTTAGTAATTAAATTATGGTGGAGCTATATGATAGAAGGCTATGAGTCATTAAAAGTCATGTCATAGAAGAATATTTAATGACATGGACAATGAGATACTTAATATTTTTATTTTCACTTACAACACAAACTGTGAATATTATCCCATTTCATGAAAGAGGAACAGTTGTGCATAAAAAGGCTAGATATGTATACACCCCACATTCACTGTGGCTATCTCTGAGTGGATGGGATATTTGAATTACAGTTGATTTCTTTGTTGTTTTCTTTTGTCATTTTTATGTTTTAAATTTTCTATGATAAATCTAGAATGCTTTTGAAATAAGAAAAGCATTACTTAATGAACAATATCAACTTTAATAGACTATTTAAATGAACTATTTAATGGATAACTATTAGTTATAGTTATTAAAACAATTTTCAAGGTTTTTTCCCCCAATACTGACAGTTCTCCATTTTCTTTTTTCTCGAGTTTTTCCTCTGAATAAAATATGAAAATAGCAAAATTTTATCACTATTTTTAATATTAGTGTCACTTTTAATAATCAAGTTATAATTCACTTTTTTAAAAGCAAAAAGACTGCCAGTCTACATAGAAGCTTTATATTTTTAAACTTCATTTCTACTATTTTTAGATCCTTCCTTAATTATGCTTTGCAATGTGACATCTAATTTGGAATAATATATCAATTATTTGGAGGACATACATTATAATATGTAAATAAACCATCTAATAATGATAGTAGACTCTTCATGGCTCATACTATTTTCCAGGTATTGTGTTAAATGTTTTACGTATTATAAAAAATCAGAAAAGCACTTTGAAAATCCTGCATACTACATTAAAGACAAAGGGAAACCCTAAATGATTTGATGATTATCTTCCTTTTTAAGTGCCTTTATCACCTTTAATTGGCATGAAATCATGTAGAAAGTTTCAATGGAAATAGCAAGATGTGTACAGTTTAATTTTATCACAAGATAAGATGCTCATGGCATCCACAGAACACCAAAAGAAAATGAAATATGAAAAATCTAAGTCAATCATCTAGATGTTCTGTGACATGATGCTGAACTCCATGAAAGTGTTCCAATGTGCTATTTCTTCTCCTGAGGTATGTGATATTACCTAGACAAAGCTAACGAGTAGGTGTGGAAACCATGCTTAATGCTGTATGTGAGATTAAAACACCCTCTCACCTCTTTCTTTACTTCTTCTTCATCTTCCAGTGTCAAAGCAGCCAATTGCTTAGCTCTCTGCTCCATCAGGTTCACATACCGGATTGGGTTTGATAAAGCTTCAATGACATCTAAATAGGGAAGAGACATTTTAGATCAAAGGTCCTGGAGGTATTGATTATCCATCATTCATCTACTTACTCATCTGTCTGACCATCAGTCCATGCATTCATTCTCCACCCATCTACCCACCCATCCATCCATCCATCCACCCAGTCATTATCCATCTTCCATTCTTCCATCTACCCATACAACTATCTACTCCTCTAACCAACACTTTGAACATGGACAAGGGTTAGGACTCTGTTGAAACTTCAGGAAGAGACAAATTAAGAGTTTAGTTCTGAGAGTCAAACTGGACAGGCTTCAACTCAGGATCCTTCAATACTCTTGATTCTTTAGTTTCTTTTTGAGGGGCCTATCCATTACAGCAATGGCCCACATAATTGTCCTATTTGGCTCAAACGATGTTTCATAAATGGAGACATTTCACATAAAAAGCCTGCTTTCCGGACTGTTGAGATAACCCAATGATTTGGGAATATAGTTATCATTTGAATGGCAGTGCCTAGCTGGAATGAGTTATGGCTGCCAGCTTTGGATGGACCATGTGCCACAAGCTTACCATGGTCTCCAGTACTCCCCAGTGTCTTACACCCAAGCTACTTGGCACTATAAGCATTTATGTTTATGATTCTTGGTTAATTCCTTAAATTTAGGATATCACCCATGAAAAGAATCAGCATTCTAAAATTGGTGGAAGACAAATTCAGTGTACAGACCTAGACATCTGTTGTAATGGATAACATGAGTTGGTAAGTGCTGGGCCCATGAGAATAAGACTACCAGGGAATAAATATTCAAAAAACTGAGGTGTTGTGATTTTAATTAAAATACATTAAATTAAAATGTATTCACAATGGCTCAAGCAATTTACCTCTAAACACACATACGAAAGTAGGGGTGATTCTGAAGTCAGAATCTCCTGTTTTGTTTGGTTCAGTTTTCCTTCCACTAACCCAAAAATATATTGTGACCTAGACAGAAATGCCCCTTTGAGTAAAGGGGTATTTGAGTTAAGTTGTTTACCTGCATATGTGTCTGGCACATAGTCTTTCACTTCTATGTAGACAAAGACAGCAGGCAGCATCAGAGGCTGGTTCCTTTCATTCCTTAGACATATATAGTGATAGCCTGGAAGGTGAGAATAATGCTGTGTAGCACATATTTCCTTCCCAATGTTAGTTATAAGTATGCACATCTATGTGACGAAAGCATGTATTTCAGGTTACTTTAGATGAAAAACAGGTCACTTTTTTCATTTTAATAACAGTTATGAATGATAAGGTATTATTTTTCTCATCAGAAAAGAAAACATTCATTGTGATTTTTTCCTTTCCAACCATATGTTTTTTTTTCCTACAAAAGAGAATTCAAAATCATATGTCATAGACTGAATTATTGATCAAAACTTGCCCCCATAACAGAATTATACTTGACATGAATTCTTTTTTTTTTTAATTGTTATTACTATTTTTTGTAGAGACAGGGTCTCACTCTGTTGCCCAGGCTGGTTTCAAACTTCTGGCTTCAAGAGATCCACCTGCCTCAGCCTCCCAAAGTGCTGAGATTATGGGGGTGAGCCGCCATGCCCAGCTTTGATGTGATTTCTTGACTTGTGCTTAAGCTCTGCTTTGGTCAACAGTATATTAGTATTTTGGTGTAAGTAGAGGCTTAAAATGCACATGCAGAATTAGACTTGCCCTCTGTATTCCAATGGTCTGCCAAGAGAAGTCCATATTGTGGAAGGAACTGCCACTTCAGCCTGGGCCCCAGAGTGAGCACGTGTGGGACAGACATAGACCCAACCCAGAACCTGAAGCACAGCTATGCTGCTGAGCCCAGGCTAGATCAGCCAAACCTGGTCAACCCACAGACCTATGAGCATGAAGATAAATACTTGCATATAAATTTTCAGATTGTTTGTTACACATAATTATTGTTGAAAGAGTTGACTAATATGTTAATACTACAACATGCCACAAAAACATGTAACTAAATCTCATAGCTCTTGTTACGTAACAAAATTACAAAGCAGAAAATAGTTTCCTAAATCATTTTCTAGTAATATTTTAAGCAGTGATGATTTTCTTTGCAACTTTGATTAAAAGTTTCTCAGCACACTATCCATACCTGGCCGAATGGCTTGCACTGGCAAGATACGGTGGCCAATGAATTTACCTCCTTCTTCATAAACTGCTATTCTCAAACAGGCCAGAGTAGGAAGAACCACCTACAAAGGACATTAAGGACACATCTGGTTATACGAATGAACAATTCCAAGAAATAATTAGAAAGGTATTATTCAATCAGGAACCAGTTTCTTTCTTTCGTGTCTTTTCTTTATTTTTTTTTTTTTTTTTTTTTTTGAGACAGAGTTCCTTGCTTCTGTCACCCAGGCTGAAGTGCAGTGGCATGATCTTGGCTCACCGCAACCTCCGCCTCCCAGGTTCAAGCAATTCTCCTGTCTCAGCCTTCTGAATAGCTAGTACTATACAGGTGCATGCCTCCACGCCTGGCTAATTTTTGTATTTTTTTTTTAGTAGAGACAGCATTTCACCACATTGGTCAGGCTGGTCTCGAACTCCTGACCTCAGGTGATCCACCGCCTTGGCCTCCCAAAGTGCTGGGATTACAGGCGTGAGCCACTGCGCCTAGCCAGGATCACCTTTTCAGATCCAAGTAGAAGTTTCTACTTAGCTACTTTAGACAAAAAGTTGAGATGTTGCCTTATAAATTTCATTGTCAGAGGAGAAGACATGGGTTGTCAGAGATAGGGCTTCATCTGTGTTTTATCACCTTGCCTAAATGAGGCATTTGTTAAAAAAAAATAGGCTGTTTTATTTTTACATGAACATTCTCAATGTGGAAATGACAAAAGTTCTATCTTTAAACAAAAAGAGTTCAGTGGTCTTATCACCATGTGAATATTTCATTTATGTTTTCAAAGCAAATTACTTTTGCATCTTCAAAGTGACAGCAGAAAATAGTGAAAACAACCACCATCGAAAAACAAGAATAACTTTCAGGATAACTTTCAAAGTACAATTGCTTTATAAATTTGTAAATTCCCATAGTAAGCAACGAGCAACTACTCATTTCTTTCCTCAGCGTGAAACATCTAAAATATGCAGTTATATCTCATGTCAAGAACATGAAGTCAACTATCTCTTTAAAAATGTATTGTTTACAAAACCAGCAAACTCACATTTATTGAATATTTTCATTGTGCTAGATATTTCTTAAGCGTGGTTAGCGTATTTACTTACGGAATATTCATAATAACCCTAAGAAGTAAACATTATAGTAAACATTATTATTAAACTCAGTTAACATATGGAAAAATCTCAGAGCACAGGGAGTTTCCATATAGCTATTCTCCTTGCAGAAGACTGGCTTTGTAGGTATTTTGGCCAGAAAAAAAGCAAAGAGTAGGGTAAAAATTCTACTTCCCACTGAACTTACTTTCTTCCTTTACATGATAAGCATGTGTGAAGAAGATTTGCTTTTTGGTGAAGAAAGAGAAGGGCCCAGTTGAGTGTGAAAGGTTTCAATTTTATTAGATGGAACCCAGACAAGATTGAATGAGCAGCTCTCAGAGGCTAGAGATTTTGGGGAATTTAAATAATATTCCTTTTAAAGGACGTATGAATTTTCTTTCTCTCAGCCACTATATTATTCCCTACTTCCACTCTACTTCATTTGAGTTATAATTAAAAAGTATCATTTATCACTTGTACTATCAGATGATAGGAGTTAAATGTATATGTTTTTATGGCTGTCCATTTGAGGCATACTAGAATGAATTGATTTACAATACAATTCTGAAAATCCAAACAAGTGATCAACAGAATTCTTGAAGATTTTCAGAATGGCTTTCAAAGGGTAATTGCTTTATAAATGTGTAAATTTCCAAATTAAACAATAAGTAATTCACCATTTCATTATTTTCTCAGTGTAAAACACCTGAAAATGCAGTTATAACTCATATCAAGAACATGTGACCAACCTTTTTGAACACAATAGGTTCTTCTTCCCAGACAGGATTCACAGCATTTCCTTGGGATGTCTTGGTCTTAAATGCCTTCCTCCTTGTATCCACAGGCAAACCAAACATATCCACTTCCACGTAAGTCCCGACTTTCTTATCAGAAAGAAACTGACCTGATATAATCTAGAAAATAAATCAATCAATCCATAAGGAGTTTTGATATGCAAATAACACAGACATAAGAGAATACTTTAAAGAGCCACAAATGCTGCTGGCGAATGTTGAATTATAAGCAAAATGGAATAGAAGCAAGAGTAGAAATATGATTTCCCTTTCACTTAACGGGTTGTGATATGGTTTGGTTCTGTGTCCTCACCCAAAACTCATGTTAAATTGTAATCCCCACACGTTTGGGGAGGGACCTGGTGTGAGGTGATTGGATTATGGGAGTGGTTTCTCTCATGCTGTTTTCATGATAGTGAGTTCTCACAAGATCTGATGGTTTAAAAGTGTGTGGCAGTTCTCCCTTCGCTCTCTCTCTCCTTCCCTCGTGTGACATGTGCTTTGCTTCCCCTTCACTTTCCACCATAATTGTAAGTTTCATGAGGCCTCCTCAGGCATGCAGAACTGTGAGTCAATTAAACCTGTTTTCTTTATAAATTGCTCAGTCTCAGGTAGTTCTTTATAACATTGTGAAAATGAACTAATACAGATTGGTAGAGGGATATTGAAAATGGTAAGGTTAGAAGTAGTCAATTAATAAGACAAAGTATTGCAGGAGGAATAAATGAACAAGTATTCACTTTAAACCATCAAGATCAGTTTATTGGTACCCCTAATCTCACATGGTGTCACCATCTACAGTTAGGTATTCTTTGTCTAGCTACAGAACTAATTGATATTATAGACTTAAAAGAGATTTTTAATATTACATATTTATAAATGTCTTCCAGGTCTGCCTCTGTTTCTGTCCAAATTTTCAAAACCTGAGGTATCCATTAGCTGTCATAAAGGTTAATGGAGGCAAACAAGATGTGCTTCTGCTGTATACTAGGAAGGTGAACAGCAGGAAGCAAGTGCCGACAGAGCAAACCTGGTGAATCCGGGTTAGGTGGTAACAAGAAAGTTGCCTACTGGTCAAGAACTTTCTGAGCTCAAGATTGTGAAAAGGAAACAGCATTACGGCTGGGCTCACAATCTGAGCTGAAGATTGTGAAAGGGGACAGAATTATGGCCGGGCCAGAAATCAGACAAAATGGTGGCGTGAGAATAGCCATCAAAGGTTGAGTAAAGTCAAAGTCAGTTACATGCTGATGTGGTCAGAAATTCTGAGTAATGTGAGAGAAAGTCATCAGGAAGGCTCCCTGAATTTATCCTGGAACAACTCATTTCCCCTGTATGTTCTCTTTGGCTTGAGTGCATGGGACCTGCTAGCAATAATCTCTTTGTTTAACTTGAGGTTCTTCGTGAGAACCATGTCTATAAAATGAGCAGACATTTCAAAACATGTTTAAAACTTCTAAGTTATAGAAGTCCTACTTGGAATTCAGATGCACAGATTTTGTGTGTTTAAGATGTTTGACCAAAGTAGAGTCCTATACTAAATTCATGACACTAAACCACAATGTTCTCATCAGTAAAATAGGATGGTACAACATCGTGTAAGCTCATAAGTCCATTCTGACATTATAAAATCTATGCCAGAAAATGAAAACAAAGGCATAATTGGAAAGTTATGATCTGCATCTTGGCTCTAGCTATAATGTGAAAGGTAGGGCTCTACTGCAGTGAGGACTGTCCATTCTGGGGAGACTGACAGCTCTGGAACAGCATCTCTGGACAGGAGCAGCAGGTTACACTTGTCTGGGGCTCAGTTATTTCCTCTTCACAACTCAACATACTTTCCTGCTTCTGTGTCATTGTTTTATAATTGCTTACTGTTACAGTAGAATTTTTAAGACAAAAAAAAAGCAAACAAATACATTCAAAACAAGACGAATCTACAAACAAGACAAAAATGTTATTAATTCAGCCGAACTGTAACAATTGAAAACGATTCTAAAAGCAGCATTCTATCAGTACATGAAGCTTATGAGTTTATCTTAATCACACCTGACAGAAATTAAACAGCCTTTTCTGAAAACAGTTTCCTAAAATAAACTCTAATTCTGCCAACTTGAACTCTTTATATATGTGGCTTGAAGTAATTTCAAAAGATATAATTATGAGACACTTCATTGAAATTTTATTCTTTAAACCCTTGATATAAAGTGACAAAAGTTTTAAGGTAAAAATGTGCTCAACTGCTTAGGGTAGAAAGAAATTAGTGAAGCTGTTATAGAAAGTTTTTTACATAGTTTTTCAAATGCCTTTGTTTAAGGTTAATCAAAAAATTGCATTTATGTCCATTAAAAAAATTTCTTAGTTCTATAGTTATTCAGTTAAACAGAAAACAGATAATATTTTTGAAAAGCTTTAACAATGAAGAATCCATGTAAAAATGTATTCTAAAAAATTGATTTTCCTTTCACAGTATTAAAAGTATTTTCTGATAGCTAAAAAATTACATCTGCTATAAAATCAATTTCAAAGAATAAAAAATCATTTGGAATTATTTAGGGTCAGGTATACATATGTATGTATATATATGATTTTATATATTTATGATATATGTATATGTATATATATCAATATATACATAAATATTTAATAAAGCAACTCTTTTATTTAAAGATCATTAACATGTGTTTTAAAATCTCTGAATGCTCTGGAAGATTTTAAAATACCATTTAAAGTAACTTGAAAGCTTTTGTTTAATATTTGATAATTTATTGAGGGAATGTTCTTTCTCTAATTTTGCTAAGAACCAAAGCGGGGGGAAAAAAGACCAGAAAATCTCTCCAATATGGGCCACTAATTATCATGTAAATTTCACAGTAGGATAGTTACACCAAAAAAGAGAATTGGTTATTACGAGTCTCTCTAACTTATTTTATTGATTTAGAGTCCGATTTTTATCATTAAGAATGAGATTCAGTCCCTTTATCTTATCCATGTGGCCTACGAAAGCTTTTAATGTGTATTTGATCTTTAGAGAAAAAAAATGTAGGAAGAAAGTAGAATCTTTGCTAGTTACTAAATTTGTAATGACTAAGCCACTTCTTTATGCAATGTAAATTCAACACTATTGTTAGGAACGCTTTTGTGATGGGGAATACATACCTTAACAGACAAAGTGTTTGCCACTATCCCATCTACGATGCCTTCAGTAAATGGATCAAAATGCTTGTCAGGCCTCCTCATGAACTCTGGCTTCAATCTATAGCCACTCTTTCCGTTGTATTCATACATCCCCATATTTATTTGCATAGCCAGGTCTGAGTATCAAAAACACAAGCCTTATTGTGAGTTTATCTATATTTGGGATAAGAAAGTAAGATTGTAAAGTTAAGTTTATCACGGTCTACTTTTATGACTGTACTCCTTTAGAAGAGAGTTAGTTATTGTAGAAATGTAGAAAACACAGATAAGAAAAAAAATTTACCTGTAATCCCCAAATCCAGAAATAATCACTGCCAATAGGGGGGTGTACAGTCTGCTTTTCCACTTCAAATATATTTTGACATACAGTATGTTGATTTCATTTAATATTTATCTGCCTTAATTATAACAGCTTTCTCAAATTCCTTTGATTAAATATATTAGAATAATATATTTAGATATTATATTATGTATTAAATATTATATTAATATATAATAGAATATATTATATTGTAATATATAATATA